TCGCACACCGCACTCTCGTCTCGCCCGTAGCCCGCGCAATGCTATACGATTACTGAAAGAGAAAATCAGTTCAGCAACTTGCCCAGCAAGAATAATTACGACTACCTTCATTCGTTCGTTAGCAGACAGGAGTCTCGCGAAAGTTAGAGGTGCGCGTTTAATTTCTGCCTGGTACGAAGACTTCAACCCTACATAACATTCTTGTGAACCTTTTGCCCCGTTTCTGCTCCTTTCTCCATCTTCTAATCTCATAGCGCTTCCAGTCTAACATTAGCGATTTCCACTAGCCACGTACTGTCACCGCTCTAAAAGGAATCCTCCCCGGAAAATTCTTGCATCTTTCAAGAAAATGGATATGTCAGTTGTATCACTAGATATAACATATTTACAAAGTGTCATTCTCACGTATTCAGTTTCTGAAGAAGAAACAACTTACTATCATCACACATCGAGACGTCGGTAGGCTGGTCGAGAAAAGGCATACCTGAAAGGAATGCGTCTTGGGCGGATTTGTATCCTAGCGACATGTTGTGAGCTCCTTACGCAAACGCTCAGATATTGGGAATGCGACAAAAAACATCGATAGACAAGACATAACGGTTGCACGGAGGATTGGTGATCGGCTAGCGCATTAACGTCAAAAGTTAAAAAAGAGTCCTGGTGGAAGCATAGCGGAACCAAAGAAACGCTCTCGCCGCCAGTATTTGTGACAGATGCCTGCGCGAAATTTGAAGCGTAGCAGTTCCCACCCCCTCCCGCTTTTTCGAGTTGTTTGCCAAAACAAACGAAAATTCTCTCTTTTTTCCATGAACGGTGGGCCTCTAGTCTGTGATTTATAGATTAGATAGGATCATGATTTTTCCGGGGAGGATTTAAGTTCATAAAACCGCAGCACTTTCCATTCCTTTTCATGTTTTTCTCTCTTTCTTCGACTCCATCTCTTTCCACTGGAACAACACATCGTCAACTTTACATACGACTGCTGCCATCACGTGTCAACATACCGTTGAAAGCACAAGAACGAGCAAATTGGCAGTCTAATCTGTTGTTCTGTTGTCTCGGTAAATGAACATGCAACTTGCACTTATCGACCACAATAAAGTTCTATCGTTGTTCCATCCTTTCGGTGTTTTCCTGTCAAAGTGCAAATTCCGGTTTGGGAATTAATTGAAAAGGAGTTGAAAGAACACTCCTTGGAATAAGTTCAGAGGTTTTCAGTGGAAATTATATAAGTGCTCAGGAATGTCACGTCATCCGCACGTTCCGATATGTCACGAGTCCCCTCCAGAAAATCTTTTTCATACTGCCTCAATCTCGAAGTCATTCTCTACTGTGTTACCGTTGAACTTTACACAAAAAAAAATCTGAAAAATCCCCGCCGTTTTCAAGGTTCCAAAGAAAGCTTGCTCATCTTCCCACTCGTAATGTTGTCTCCTCAGCGTTGCTCTTAACAACCTGCAAATTACCTCTATTATAATCTGCACGAACAACCGGCTTAACAATTTCCTGCTATTCACAGGGCCTCGCGGAGGTCAATGTAAGGTTTTTCATTCAATGCTTTCCCATTCTCACGTTTGCCTCCCTGGGAGTGTTCCGATAAATTTTTCCGCTAAACTTCGAAAAGATAACAATAAATCTTGGAGTGCGCCACGCATTCTATGTTCAGCCCTCATTATAGTGGCATTCGAAGGTGATTTCCCTATAAATGACTGACCAGTTCCGACCAGAGGGTTCAACAGTATTTATTCCACAAAGAGAACTCGCTGAACCGGAGGTAGTTCATTTCATAAGACAGGCTACCTGAAGAGTTTCTAATCAGAGGATTTGGCCCATGGCTTTGTACCGCGCCATTTGCCTCTGGGTCACTAGGTATCGGTCCCTATGCGTTGCCGGATCTTTCTATAATAGTCTTTTACGGACCTCGCCCCTCATGAAATGTTCCATGACCCCCTCCTTCAAAACAATTTTTACCCCAAAAAATTACCGTCGAGCGGGGGAGGTATATACACGCGCTGAAACGGCAAATTTTCTCCCGCGCCGCTCCCCACTCATCACATGCAACTTCTTACAACCGAAGCAAGTACGACCCCCCCTCTACAAACTCATCAAAATACGACCCCCCGTTGCTACTTGTAGCAACATAGGGTTGACCTGCTGCTCCAGGTACTGTCTGCCTCAAATTTTTCTCATCATTTGCCAAATGGTGTTATTCCGGCTAATAGAAGAAACATGGTAAAAGGCGAAGCATGTAACAACCGCCAACGGAGAGGAGACGACATTATACGAAGTTATACGATTCAGAAAGTCTTTTGTCCTCTAATGGGCTTCAAACGCTCCGCTACAAGGGCATTTTATTTGGCAATGCATTACAACACCAAACCTTTCGAGCTTTTCTGTTCTGATTTCAGCTTCCAATTTCTCACCTATTGTTCTTTTTGAAAGAATATTTCTTTGAAGGAGACTAGCTCATCGAATCAGCGCCAGGTAGTTAGTGCTGAGAAAGACTGAATGTCTGTCCAGTCCGTGGCACGTCGGCGGTTCAGACATACACATTAGTGGTTGAACTTTAAGAACCTGCCTGTAATGACTGTTGATTTGATCGTCATTTTCTTCTTGGTAATTGTTACAGCGTTCGTTTATACGCTCGTGCGTCTACGTGCGCGACTTTACCACACTCAACGTGCCCTTCACACTTTTATGACGGAACTTGATTTTGCTGACATTTCCTCGCGTTTTTTCGATGATCACTTCATCTTCGTTCATTGTTTGATCATTCTGCTGTTGAAAAAGAAGCTAATGAGTTCTAACTCGCGCTTCCGGTTGAGACCACATCTGTAGTCAGTGGAATGCTAACCACACAGCTATGGGTGCCGAGTTCCTGATCGAATCCTGAGCTGGCTTACCTGGCCTTTTTTACTCCGTGGTCGGTTAACTGCTACCTGACTTGTCTCGCAGGCGAAAACACTAAAATTGACTCGCACATTCGACCGGCCCCGCAAGTTACCGTTGCAGCCTAATCTTATTTTAATGCCACTTTTATCCTTTCAACTCACGTGGCACCTGCAGAACTGTAGAGCTCATTTCCCAGACTGAACCGCAGTGAATCATTCGGTGCTCCCTATAGGTGCAAGGCTGGTAGGAAGTAGATGAGAATAAGTCTGTTGCGGGTCGGTTTCCTATGCCGTCTAAGCTCCGTTTGATCAGTTCGAGTGCAATTTCAGCGAGACTAGAATTGAACTCAAGTGGATTCAGTTTGAGCGAACGAAAGAACCACTTGGCCTTCCGTGCACCTCATTAGGTTTCCGTAACCAAAGCCCCACATTCAACTGTGCCGGTTGCATTCTTTCTATCTCAAGAGTGACTAGAAATATGATACGTTGCGGTTATAGCTCTCGCCAATGTTGACATTCCTTAAATTCGAAAACCAAGTGGAGTAATTCATGAACCGTGACCAACCTGGTCTTTCACCAGTCTGGGGTCGGATGACTGATATCATCTCAGCTGGGACATAAGAAAATTGATAATTCTTCCAATTGGCTTCCGTCTATGTCTAAGCCGGCGATCACCAAAGATTATTTGCCATCGGATCCATATAGGTGTGGGCACCAAGAGTCTAGCACGTCAGCACCTTCCAATCACTGTAGTACACCAATCAGTGACATTTCCAACCTGCGTAATCCTTAGTCCTGTTGGAAATAGAATTGTGATATTCATAGAAAAGATTTTATGTTCTATCTTCGACAAATTCGCGTCCTCCATTGTGGGGATTGTCGAAACTCCGAGAACTTTGTTTCCACAGGTCTATCGTCAAATTCCATGCATCGTTCACTACCACGGCGCATGAAATTGAGTTCAGCTCATCGGTGTTTGTGCATGATAAAAGCCTAGGCCCCAATCGGATAGAGCAGGGTCAACCGTTTGTCGTTAGTTATTAAAGAAGTTATGTATTTGTATTAGGAAGGTTCTTTCTGGTTTTGTGTAGTCGTTCAAGGTTTCCCAAAAGGGGTAGCGGAAAATAGAGACAAAATTGGAATATTCCTCGTATCCTCAACTATATTTGCCTTATCTCTCCCCCGCTTCGACGGCCAGGCTTGAATCGGTGCGGGATTGAAGTGCGTCACCTGGCCTCAGAAAACTACAGACACAAAACATATATAGAAGTAGCCTGTGGTGATGCGAGACGTATCCCTACACTATTGATGGTATACGGAGCTTGTTTTTGGATAGATTTTCAACGCCACGGCTGACTGTAGTGTAAAGGTATGGGTGCAGCCCTAGAGCCAATTTTGTCATCTTTTTCTACATCGGTGTTCATATTAGGACCGAAATATCGGAAGATAAACACTTTCCATATTCATAGCTTCATGAGGCCTGACCTTTCAAAGAGTTTAATCAAAATTATCACGCACACTGTTAATGCCAAGTCAGGAGTGCGATTCACCGAGCGTACTATTGTGAATTTCTTCTGCCTTTTACAAACAGGTTACCAATTGACTGAGCTACAATTGCACATACCAATAGACTCGTTACAGGCTATAAACTGAGTTATTGAAGTGAATCGGTGCATGCAGCCCCGACACCGGGCGGGTTTCTGCCCCGAATAAAAACTATGCGCTGCCTCTCTTCAGTTTTCCCTTAGTACAATACTTATGTTGAAATTTAATATAGGTAGAAATGTGGAATGGCTCAGATTGTCTCTATTCTTGCCCAAACCTGAGTGTTCCATATTTAGGCATGGCACTACGTATAGAGTCATAGTAAGCCAATCCTGAACTCTGATTCACGCGTCTTCTTGTCTCATAATAATAAGTCAATCGTTTTTCAAGTGCCACACATGTAGACAGCAGAGTTCACCCATGGCCAATCCGGTTTTCTTTGCCTGAGACCATTGCAATCTCGTGATTGACTCAATATTAACCATGTGCTCTTCCGATGCGAATGACGTTTTTCACATGGTTTTTATCTGAACTTTTCATTCACATCTGAATTTTTCATTGAAGATGATCGGTTACCTAGCACTTCTTGCCGTTATAGCCTCTGGAGTAAGGAGTGGCGCTGTTGGAGGTAAGCCAGATGAAGAATTCAGCTTTAGGTTAACTAAAACACATCAATTCAGAATGTCGATCAGAATGCGTTGAACTCAATCTCTACAAAATTGTTCGAGTCCATCTGAAGGTAAGAAGCGGAACAATTCGTACTTTACGGTTATCTTACAGTATGTAGTCAAAACCCTTGGGGTGTGCTATTTGTCTGGTTTTCATTAGAAATTGTAGAGCATTTAGGATGACTTCGTGATGGTTGGCATATGCAAGAACACCACATCACGGAAGGCTTCAAATCCAAAGTACTCCATTCATTTGTAATCGTCACCATGGAATATGGACGTTCGATGAGACCGTAAGTCTATATATCTGTAGTCGTCTTAATGGCGTATTTACTTAATCATTTGCAGTATTATGGAGGTCGTCCACAAGTATTATATTACTTTCTTGCTTTCGTTAACTTCATGTCGGTTACGCTCAATATAGAACTTCGACAATTCCATGCAGACCTAATTTATCAGGGCCCTCACTTAACACGTTGACGACCGTGTGGTATGATGTCATACCACACTCTTTCGGCCACGTGGGACCGTGTGACATGATGTCATGTCACAGTCTTTTTTAAGCTGGTTTTCAAACATTTTAGGTAACTTATTTACGTGATGTATGCGCCATACTTAGGCATTGTTACAAAAGGCGTGGTCCCTGGAAAGAAGCTTCGGTTGATGGGCTATCGAGTTTTTCTAAAAATGTTTGAATAATGATCAAATCACAGGAATCGCTAAAATGGCCAAAATCGCATAATCGGAGACCTACCACACAAGAAAGATAACAAATACACACTTCCTGAGAAAAAGGAGTTCTTGTGGGACCGTTTGACATGATGCCATGTCACACTCGCGCGGTCAAAATAATGCGCGCGGTCCCACACGCCAGACAGCGAAAAATAGCGCGGTCGTCAACGTGTTAAAGGCAAACCCCGGGATTAGCCCGTCTAGTAGGAGGGATACCACGAGGGAAATTGTAGGGTCCGTACGTAAGTGGATCACTCCAGCTTCGTCGCAAAAACTGCGCGGTTAGGGCGCTAATCCTTACGGGCCCGCAACCATCGACTCCCGTTCCAACACTTCCCACCCGACGCGAGCGTGTGGTGAGATCAGCGTGCTCTCTCAAACGACGTGCTCTCTCGCGTATTTTGTCTTCTTTGACCGCCCTTTCTCGCCATCGTACCACATCCGACCCTATTGAAGGTTAAGGCCTTAATTTCAGCGTTCCCAAAAGATTTCTCTTGCTTTCCTTCCACTTTCAGGTCGTTCCGCAGCTAAGCTATCACTACAAAGCGCTGATAGCACCTGTTTAATCCCGGAGTTTGCCTTTAACCATTGTCAACCTCTGATATTGATGTTCGACTATCAACCGAGGCCCTCACCATCGCGAAAAAGCATTTTGAATGCTCAGCATATATCGCGACTTGCTTCCACCCTTTTCCGACAAATCTGGTGAAATGAGGAACTCGTACAAAACTCCATGCTGTTTTTTGTGTTCAAGATTCTTGAGCAATAAGGGAATAGTGATCTTGTGTAAAGAAAGAATAGACATTTGGTTATGCGAGAAACCTATTCTTCAATGTGAGAAAAAAAACTACCGAGGTTTACATAAAAGCAATTCAAAATTAAAGCGATCAAAATTGAGTTATTTACTGGATGGGGTGGAGACTTTCCGAACAACCCAATATGATAAAACAAAGATTTGGAGAGATTTGGAGAGCTGGCATTAGCACTTCTGCATACTTCTACAGTTTATCAATGCTACAAAATTTATTACAGGATGAAGAAGGCAAAGTTCCTTTCAAGAAACGGTGCCCATCAAACGATCCAGTCCCACTGATGCAGCTTGCAACATGTCCACAATCATTCAAGAAAATATAAGTTGGCTCATTTCTTTGCTTTCACTCTCTTTGTCAAAAAGTTTTAGAGAAGAACACAAAGAGCGATGATCTCAGATAGTGTATAAATAAGTGATATTATCAGTGATAAATATTATTCTTATGACTGCTTACATGGAGAAATAAATTGCATTTATCACAGACACAAATTTAGTACATAGTTCACTGATCACAACTTGATGATATGAGCGACGAAACAAGCAAACAACATGGGAGTCACTATATTAGAAAAAGAAGAAAACAAGGATATGCCTCAAAAACTGAATCATCGGATGCCCTCGATTGAGTATATCCAATAGCGTTGTCAAGTAAGAAATGATGATAACAAAAGACAGAGAAAAAGTGACGGATAATTAATACAAAATTAATCGGGATCGTTTGACAACACATACCGACTTCTCTACACTGACCTCTCTGGGCTTTAGTCAAGTTACTTTATTAGCTTCAAAAGCAAGCAACAAACCAGTGAACAGCAAAAGTCGTGACGTGCCTGACTATCCTAATTGCAGACGACGAACTAGCGCCGTGTTTCTTCGGTTCTCGAGTCGGATGATTTTCGACTTCTGCTTTTCACTGACGCTGACTAGGAACGGAAGGAAAACTACCTACACTTATGAACAACATATAACACCATATAATCAAAAGAAGAAACAATTATTAGAGTATCTCACTTCTTGATTACACTCCAGTCCTTTCGAGGAATTTTTTGGAGGTATTTGATTTTGTTGAACAACAACTTATACCTGAAACACTTCAATTCAGTTCGACGTAATAGCAATAATAAACAGAAAACTAGGTTCACATGATTAGTGTAGAAATGTCATTTACGATGCCATAAGTTGTTGAAATGTATAGGGAAAACAAGTGGACAAAAGTCCTAGCTAGCGAGTTCAGCACTCAACCGTCCTACTACGTTATCATGGCGGTATTCAAAGGTGTATCACTTCATTATATAAACCAGAACTTTGGTGTGTCGGTTTGTCGGTGTGTGTGTGTCGTTCTGTCCGTCCGGACCAACCGCTCACAAACCAGGGAGTACGAAGGGCAACACTTCGTGATGTTGATGTCATGATCATGATAACACCCACAGCGGCTATATAAACACCGATCGAGCACACTCAGTCTCATTCTACATGGTGCTGCCGTGGCAGCCGGAGGGGAGGGTAGAAAGAGGGGAGGGGTAGGGGAGGAAAGAGAAAGGGCAGGAAGGGGGAAGAAAGGGGATGGGCAGGGGGAGGAAGGGGAGGGAGTGCACCGCTTTCAAGATTACGGTTCGATCCGGTGTTGAGGTATTATTGCAACGTGATTGTGATAATACCTCAACGGCTATATAAACACCTACTTAGTACACTTTCAGTCATTTCACAAGGTGCTGCAGTGGCAGCTGGAGAGCAGTGGGGGAGGAGGGGAGGATAAGGTGAGGAGGAGGAACGCCAAGCTTCGCAGGGAAGGGAGGGTCCGGCGGTTGCCGGGGGACCAATCTGGTTTACTGATAAATTGGTTGCCCGTTGGAACGATGGTATAGCTGCCAAGGGTGTGCAACAGTAAAGAAAAAAGACCGCACGAAAATCTCAGAACTGTTGGGACTTTTCTCCGTTGATCTCAGCGTTAGAAGAATCTCATGATACTGCCCTCACCAACAATAAACGCCCTGCTAAACGGCTAGAGCCAGACGATGAAGGGTTATCAATCTGTGGGCGTGCAACGTTGCGGGTACTCCCTGCAAGCTCACTAAGAGCATACTATTTGCTAGGAGCGAATCGCTCAGCCTCTAGGGGACCCAACTGCTTTTCCACCAGTTCTTTTTCCCTTCTTCGACCTCCGACCTTGTCGTAGAATCCTCCTTTCGAGTTTTACATATTCCCAACACATATCAGGTACATTCTCGTTCTCATCTGTTCACTAATTTCATCAAACGACTCCAAGAAATCATGCGCTGGTTATAATTCGCAAATGAAAAAAAAGATAGACTGGTGCAAAACAGAAAAATTGAGAGCTCAACGTCTCTCTGTCAATCAAAAAGTGACCAACGGACAGAAAGACTCCATGGATGGGGTATATAGAATGCCCTGCGTAGTTAGCCCAGTTGCATGTTTCAAGAACTTTCTTCCAAAAGCTGATTTCATCTTTATATTAGCCTTCGACCCATCCATGATGTATTAAAAGCTAGAAATTATGGCATCTCTAAGGGCAATTTAAAATTGGAATTCGACACAAAACCTTAATCACGCTGTTTTAACAGCGCCGTGAACCTAGCCATAAGCGAGTTATAAATCTCTATCCATTGGCGGTGACCTTTTTCAGCTATTCCAAAGCACTATATGGTCATATGGCGGATCAGGATTTTTCCGGCATTTTCTTGTCTTTTCCTTTTGTTTTTCTTCTCTTTAGTTCTGTTTCTTGAATTGTCGGCCACGATTTTAAGAAACTAATAAGGAAAGAACAGATCACTGCTTTAATGTGCAAATATTTTGCATCTACTTTGCGAAATTCTCTGACCCGATGTGATAAATGTACGAATACTCACCCATATTCGACCGATTACAGAGCACACAGCAACTGAGAGTTTAAGATAGATCCGTCGGTATTCCACCGTGGTCGCATTACATTCAGCCGCCGCAAGAGCACTTGATGCCGCGCCACGCTTTCGTATTGCATGCTTAGAGCACCCTAAAACAATGAACTCCTTGCACAAGAGTCAATGATAACCAGTCATACAACTAAACACTGGCACGACGCCGGGAGAGTATACATTCTCGCCACACTTCCAGCGCCAACTGTGGACCCTACGGAATGGGTATATGTTTCCGTCACACCACAGTCACCATCCTTTTTGGCGCCATCTGATTTCTTCGCAGTAATTTTGTATTTATTACTTGGACCATACATCAACATAACTAGAGGGGACGTGGATTACAAAATGGTCAGATATGCTCAGGCTTAGCAAGGATTTGCTGGTTGCACAAATTTTAGTTCGTTTTTTCTTCGCCTTTTTTCACTAGAATTAACATACAGCTTCGTGGACGGCACACATGTGTTGTTATTGGAACAATCAAAACAACTGCTTTTTGCGCGCACGCTCCGCCAACGATAGAAACTCTCTTTTTTGGTTCACATTTCACATACTCTATCGAAATGTGGCTCTAATACACTTTCTGGAATATACTTCTACGCATAAGTTAATAAGACGGCATTGTTTACATTCTATCTATTGTTATCGTAAGCTGAAGGTGAGACGCAATGTTGAATAAATCGCCTAGTCACAAACACCCAAAATCGTCGCCTGTCATCACGTATTAAGATTAGAATGATCACTTAAAATACTGCCGATGAAAATTAAACAGTGTGTTCAATGATGTTGCAGCAGGAAAAAAAAACAGGGGAAACGGCCTCAAATTCGCGGAACGTTAGCTAGACGAGCCGCAGCGATGTAACGTCATCATCAGTATTGCTCTGCTCTGCCACTCTACTAAAGAGGTTGACAGCCACAGACCAGCTGCCATCGGAAGCGGGGATAGGCACGAAGGCGATTAAAGGGACGAGTAAGAACTTGTTGTGCATGCCTTTCTACAGTTCAGCCTCCCTTCATAAGAAGGTACATTTCCTATGAAGTGAGCCGACATCCAAAATTTATGACACCAGTCTCTAAAACTCGAAGCACCTGTTTTTTAGCCTATCTGTTTGATTAAGAAACTGTGCTATTTCGGCACTACAGCCTTTCAATTCTCAACACTCAAAACACGCACACTCAAAATAATAGATTTCATAACCTAAGCCCCGAAAACCTTTTGAGTGAGCTTTGCGAAGAAAAAATCACGATCTGGGAATGTTGTGATGCTCTCCATTATACCGAACAACAACTACGATTAGATTTTACGAGCCTGAAAAAAGTAGCGGCGCTAAATTGGCGTCAGAAAGGCGCCTGGAAATGGTGACACATTAGCACGGCCACATTACCCCAACAAACAAAAAATGCGGCAAAAACATTTTACTCTAATGCAATTTTAAGAACGAAACGATACCGAACGTTATAAGAGAAAATGTAGAGAGAACTCACTCTTTAGTCCCCTTGACAACGCAGTCCTTCCACGTGAACCAATCTGTGATCGATAACACCAAAGTAACAGGCCAGTTACCCCCAAGGTTGTTCAACGTGTTCAGCAACGTCATGTACGTGCCCCCAACGCGCGGATCAGACACCTGGGCATTGAACGCCATCATCGACACAAACATGCAATACGTCGCCACCTTAATGAAAAGGATATTTAGCCGAGCACCGATATCATACAGCACTCAAAGATTTAACGTTGCTTTGAAACACAAGAATGAGGAAACCTTTCGAAAACACGTCCAAAGAAAAAAAGCATATACCTGGTGAAGTATGTAGCCGAATATCCATATAGCATACACTAAGTTATTAAATTTACCAGTATCTAGCTT